GGTTGCTGTTAAGGAACCTAAATCAAGTCAGCACAATAGGTTTAGGGTTTAGGGTTTAGGGATAAGGGGTTTTCCCTAAAATTAGGGGTACCTTGTTGGGGGTCCCTATAATAAGGATTATAGTACTTTGGGGTCTATATTGGGTCCGCTTATTTTCGGAAACTACCATATGTACTATAGTCTAAATTCTTCAAATGGAGTAAAATATGAGATTCTCTAGGGGACTACCATAGGGGTTATTAGGGGGATACTAGGAGTTTAGACTATAGCTCATATAGTAAATCATAGGGTTTCCTTATTCTAGTAACTTAATTTCGGTTCCTTAACAGCAACCCAGAATAGCAGAAATCATAGTAGAAACGCGGTAGTTTCCATAAATATAATCCTCCTAATATATATTATATATATATTCATCCCTTTATTTCCTACTAAACCCCAATGTGAGTACCCCTAAACCCTAGGTATTCTTTACAAAGGGGAGGTCCTGAGCCCTAAGGCAGCTTTGACATGCCTGAGAAAAAATTCCCCGCAGACATGGAACCTGAAACTGGTTTTCAGTTTAAAAAAAGGAACCCTCTTTTGGGGATATCTGTAATAATGGCTATACGAAACTCCCAAATATACCCTCTAAAGGCATTTAAAGTTTACTGCCCTTGTAAGCGAGTCTATGTGATGTAGGGTTGCGTGTTGGTTTGGGCTAGGCTTGGGGTATAAACCCGTAGAAGACGGCTCTTAGAGCTACCCCTGTAAGTACGTCAGAGGTCAGGTTCTGTGTTGCCCTTATTCATTGTGTTCGTAGACGGAGCTTTCCAACTAACCTCTGTCAGGGGTAGCCTAGCCGGGCATAGGGCAGGGCCGTCAGAAGCTTAATATATACCCATCTGTGGATACATCTATATATATATACATATATATATATATGGTACCCTTCTAGTTTTTGGGGTGATAGGGGTTTGATAATACAAAATAACACATTTAGCGCGGGCTGTGAATCGTGAACAAAGCCTATCTCCAAATCTTGCTCGACTCATCATGTGCCTAAAGACGTGGTTCCACTTGGGGGTTTTCCAAAATTAGGGGTACCCTTCTGGGTATCCACAGCAAAAGGATTATAGTATTTTGGAGTATATGTGGGGGTCCCCTTATTTAGGGAAACTACCGTTTGTGCTTGTCTTGACATGCAGAATCCAGTTTTCCTGTGGATTCCTTGGATGCTGCCCCCACCCATTAACAGTTAGATAGCATACACCGTATAAGAATATGGAGCCCTTAATATGACCCTAAACCCTAAACCCTAATGGACTGTTAATGGGTGGAGACAGGACCCAATGGATACCCTTGTTTTGGCAGGTGTCCGCCTGAGAGCAGTCAATAGACTTCAACAATTTATACCCCTCGGCTGGCAAGCCCTAAAACTTAGGGACCCTATCTTCCAAGCCCTTTAATGACAGTAATAATAGTAGTAGTAAATATAGAAATAGCAATAGTAGTAATATTAGTAGCAGTCATAGTTATATTAATAATCCCTTCACCTGAAGTCCCATACCCTAAGCTCCACTCTGAACCTCGAATCCTAACCCCTGACCCCCGAAACCCTAAACCCTAAAACTCAGCACAAGTACCTAACTCTGACCCCCCAAGCCGGAGCCAGGCACAAGTACCTTGAGTTCACTGACAAGTTTGAGCTCAAGTTCCTGCTGTGGCCTCAATTAGGGTTCAGGGTGTTCATGGAGACCTTTTGGGGTCCTGTTTAGGTATGGGAGTTAGATTGACTTCAGGTTTTACGGCTCTATAGCTGGATGGTTTCGACTTCTGGGTTGCTGTTAAGGAACTTAAATTAAGTTACCATAATGGGTATATATAGTAAATAAGAGGGTTTCCCCAATATAGTAACTTAATTAAGGTCCTTAACAGCAACCCAGACTTTAGAGTTAAGGGCTTTGGGGTCTGGGACTCGGAGCAGGTCATGGGAGGGGCGGAAAGAGTTCACATTACGCAGCCCCAACTCAAGACCCACAGAAACACCACCCACAGACTTTGGTTTAGGGTTTAGGGTTTTAGGGGTTTAGGGGTTTAGGGGTTTAGGGTTTAGGGTTTAGGGTTCTACATGGGGACTTCCGGAGTTGCAGTAGCGGAGTTCCGTGTCTTCGCGGCCCATAATGATGCCAAAATTTTGTGAGGAGTATTGGTGGCAAACGTACACACAATCAAGGAAGGGCGGCCTTTGCTCCATGACTTGTTGACTGTTCACAGGGATTGGAACCTATATTCATTTGGGATTGGGAATAAAGGAATATATCAGATAGGGATTATGTAGTGATTATATTCCCCTATTCCCGACTAAGCCCCAGGAAGTATTGGGGCCATCGCAGGGATTGATGTCTCCATTCCCTGACCAAGCTTGCGGGCCTCGGGAATTCACATGTGCTAAAGGTTCTTCCCGGTTGGATGGGTGGGTGAGTAGGGTATTTAACCAGGCACGGACGCATTCGAAACGTGGCTTGAGCTTCTTTGCCCTTCCCCGAACTGAATTGGAGCCTGAAATGGGGCCTTTTAAAGATGCCGTTCCTTGACGAAGGTGCTACATAGGCCTTCATGTTATTTAGGGAAAGGTGATGTAGAAGCTTGAGCAAGTACAGAACATACAGCATTCCCTTGTGGTACTGACAAAACTATATCATGATATACCCCAAATCCTAATCTACTCATTAGCCCCCAACATTAGGCCTCGTTAAAGCGGATTCCCTTTCCTCCTCAGCTGGTTTTCCGGGGGAATTTGACGTCTCCTAAACATTATAACCTAAACCTAAGCCCGAAACCTGACGCGTGTTCCATCTTGGGATGCTTTAGAGCCGTTGATTGAGAGTTGCCGTGCTGGGTCCTTTGGTTCCGGAGCAGCTGTGAAGCATTGGAGCATCCCATGAGCCAGAATGCATTGGCTTAGGGTTTAGGGTTTAGGGTCTTAAATGCTTCGTGCTTAAGGTACCTGAAGTGGATTTCAGGGAGACCATGACATCCTGCTAGATGTCTGCGGGGACGATTTTAGGGTTTTCGTAGCCATGACAAAGCCATTGCCACTTGAAATCTCAAGAATACAGGATCTGGCACACCAAAAACTCGATCCATCAGGTAAATCTTGCTTTTCAAGGAGGATTAGGGTTTAGCGTTTGGGGAGCACCATTGCCAGGGTTTCTGGTTGTGGAACCAGCCTTTGAGCAGATAAGCCGACCCATTTTCGCCATGGAGCCGGATCCGTCCATGCAGCCCCTCGACTGCAGTGTCAGGGTCTCTCTAATTAGGATTACTATTATTACGATTATCGTTAACACTATTACTCTCATATTTCATTATTAGTATATGCTAAGACTATTACTATTACGATTACTATTAGTAAGATGAAGTATAACAATAACACTAATAATATCAATCATTATTACTATTCTTACTCCTCTTTGATCAAGAACCACGCCGCTTTTGAGAAACAGGTAGTTGGGGGTGCGGCATGCCTGACAGTGCCGGGTACTCAACTCAGACATGTTTCTCACCCTGATAGCTATTGGCGAAGATGTTGAAGCGATCCTAAACCCTTAGCCCCAAGCAATCAGTCTTACAAGGGTAAGGGAGTGAAACGC